TTTCGCCAGCAATTCCTCACATTTCAACACATTCGTCCAGACGTCTGTGGCATAAAATGAAGTTTTAGCGGCTACTCCCATGGATGTGGTCTATTTTTAGTAAGTGTTTATTGCCTTGCAAGTCTACTGCAAGTGAAATTTCACTTCATTACTTCTGTTTGTTTGCTTTCTCGCTTGCCTAAAAATACAATATCTGCTTGCAAATATTCGCCAAGTAGATTTTTGTAGGTTCCTTGCTTTACTATGCTGCAACTTAGTGAAAACTCTTTTAATAGCTTCATTTGCTTGCAACACACTGCAATTATACAGTTCTCTGGCAGCAATGTTTACTTTTACTCGCAGCTATGCGAATGTACGTCTATGTAAAGGGGTATTTAAGTGCGTGTACTCACATAATTTCTACGAATTCTGATTTCACTCGAAATCTTCTATTTTTGTAGAGTGTGAAGTGGAGCAGTCATTAAATTAATTTTTTGTTTTGGATATGATTTTCACTTAAACAGGTAAAAACGAGATTTTTAGGGAGTATGTACCCACTGGTGCGAATAGTTGTTTGTATATATGTAAGTAGGTATAAAGCCAGCTGATTAAAATTGTTACTTAAGTACTAGTTTCTCAAAATTTTTAAGACAAAATTTAGAAAATTTGGAAAAAAATCTTTTCTTAAAATTTATATATATGTTTTTTGTTTTTTAGTTATGGTTACTCGAGTACTATTTTCTGAAAATTTTTAAAATAAAATTAGAAAAAATAATTTTTTTCACATTTATATTTTTTTTTTTAATAAAAATTTTTGTTTTTGCTTTTCTTTAGTTTTCACTGCCAAACTCTACTAACTTCTCTCTCCTGACTTTTATATAATTTTTATTTCCCTAAACTAAGAAATAATTGCTCTCATTTGGCCCTAAACCAATTCCGCAGTCCTTACTTCTAAACTACTCCTTCATTCGCACATCTTCTATGTTCTTCTCACCACCACAAAGAAATATTTAAATCAGCAGCACATTTGTGCGTCGTCAAAAATATATTTCATGTTTGGTTAACATGTCAGAAGTGGGTACTAAGAAAAAATAATTTCTGCTGTCATAATGAAATTAATTGCAAATGAGTTGAATGTAGCAAGTGCTTGTGCTGACTGCGTGACCAACTGCTCCTCAAGCAAGCAGAAAGTACTTGTTAGCACACTGAAAAAAATTTTTGTAACTAAGTTCTTTACAGCAGTTGCTTATCCCGGTACACCTCAGTGCGATTTATAAAATGAATAAAAATATTTAACAAAGAATTTGTCTAACATTTTGTATTTCTAACCAAATTTCGTATGCGGAAACTTGTTGGAAAAGGCTTATGGTTTTTCAAAAATGCAAGCCTATGAGTAGTACAACGCCTTCCCTTTAAATACGAAGGTCGAGAGATCGTTGAAGACATGCCTCGTTTTGGACGACTTTCGAACTCTTAAACTGATGAAAGTATTACAAAAAGTGAAGGGTATGGTGCTTGAAAATCGTCAGGCAAGTTGTAGAGAGATGGCAAGAGAGCTCGACATCTTGGGAATGAAACACGTTCTTGCTCGACTCGTCCCGATGAAGCCGAATTTTTTTCCTAAAGAGTACAGTAAACAGGTCTTTTTGAATATGCTTGATCGTGCGAAATTCGGTCACACATTCATGGAGAGCATTATAACTGACAAAGATTTATAAGTTTGACATACAAACAAGTCAACAGTCATCCAAATGGAACCCGTTTTCAGTCGATAGAACAGATAAATAAAAATTCGCTGATCATCTAAAGTTATAACATTTTTCCACCTCGCCGTCAGTTTATGGATTCCATCCCAAAAAAACTGCGTCGGCTTGGCGGTTAAGAATGATTCGAATAAATTTTTAGTATTTGAGTGAGGAGTTGTACATGTAATAGAAGAAATGGTAGTCAGGACAGGCAAGGTCATAAGTGGGGAGAGCAAAATTTCCTCGCCACTTCTTTTTCAATAACTTTTAACTGATTTTTGCCGGTGATATTTCCAGGCGTTTTTCGCAATCGCTCGTTCGATATGTTGTTGTCGGCATAGTTTCCCATTAACCCTAGCAAGATAACGGTACGTGAAATGACGTACTATTTTTCTACGCTTCATTTGTATTCGAAGCAACTTTAGTCTGTCTGCAGTCAGTTCTTATGTCCTTATGTGTAGCACATAAGACTCATTCAAAAACAATTTCAAAATCTTTGACATTCTTTTAATATTTTTAAAGAAAATACGCCGTTCGAATGTATGGTTATCTTTCCAGTGGTATAAAATAGCTATATCTTTCTATGGTTAATGGTTTTGCCGGTTTTAGCATCCATAATACGGCTATTGATTTGGTTGGTTTGAATGCATACAAGATGTTCTGCGTTCAAGCAAGATTTCTGACATTCAAAATTATGTTTTAACGTCTCTTAGCCTCAGGTCAAATAGCACAAAATTTGGTTGCTTTTGAATGTATCCGACTGCTTTCAAACATTTTGAAGTGGCTGCTTAAGTGAATCCTATAGAGTCCGCGGGATTGACAATAATTTTCATTAAATAATGCTTCCAGTATCTTATCTTAAAATTTCTTGGAAGCCAGCATCACCATTTTAAAGTGCAAAAAATAGCACGTTATTTCAACTAGAGTATCTTCACCATAATCTTGCACCAAAATACTATGACTGTCGACTGAGGTTTATTTTATATCAAAGCTATGAAAAAAAGCTCCCCACAAAAACCATTTCAGGTACAAAGTGCGACATATTAGAGTGAAAAGAAAACTACGGATGTTTACGCTTCCAATCAATGACATACATATACTGGGAAAGACGCAGAAAGACAGTAGTTTTCCAACTTAGGTTACTCTAGGTTACGAATAAAGTGATAAACCCGATATATTTTCAAAATCATTCTACTATTTTGAGATTTTGTTTTGGAATAAAAACTATGTTTAGTTAAAAAGAAAAATACAGTTTCTAAACTAAATTTGGTTTTTAAATTAAAAAAAAATTACAAAACAACATATAATATATGTATAAGCAAAACTTAAATTTTGTTTCAATATGAGTGGTTTCTATTATATAGGTGATGAAACGTTATTTTGCATTTTATGGGACGATATATTATATAAACTTTTCTGCATAAAAAGAATAATCGATACAAAAATCATTTCTGTATATCATGTAAAGAAATATTTACTATGCGTCATGGTGTTTGCTTTGAAATTAATAAATATTTTGCTAAGGAAAATTCAAATAGAAGAGAGCTATAGACGTGATAGACAACAAAGAATAGAACTGACTAGAAAATATATGCACAATATTAGCACTTCAAAAGGCACAGCTCCTTATCTTATAGCATTGACAGACGGCAGCGATTAACTGCATTAATCCGGATTAAATAAGGAGTTAGTGAAGATAACTCTGTTGCTAACTCCCATATAACCCTCAAAATTTTGGCGAATTTGTTGCATTTTCTTTGGCAACATTGCTAAAAATTGCCAATTTTAATTTATTGTGAATAAAGAGCGAGTAACACTGACAGCTGTTTTTCAAATTTTCAATAATAAAACAAGAAGTTGTATGTTATGATGTTTTGTAATGATGCAGTTTTAAATAAAATATTGGACGGCTAACAACCGCAATGTTTATCTTCTATACATTTTCATTGAAAATCAAACTCGCATAGCTGCTGTCTGTCACCTATAAATTTGGGTCTGATTAAGAGCTCAGTCAATCCGGATTAGCGTTGCCGCCTGTCAAGGCTATTATAATTTTGGATCTTCGCCTTGATGACGAACTACTTCAAGCTTTAAATATACGTTATTAGCTCGTGGTGAACAAAGAACGACTTCTACAATTTTAGGTGTGAGTAACGATAATTTTTAGATATATCGGTAATTAAAGCAACTAAATATGTTAAACTAATGGTATTTAAAAAAAAAAATAAAAAAAAATATAATTAGATATAACTAAAAGCCGGAGAATTACCACTACCACTTAAAATACCCTTCCACAAATATTTAGTTTTGTAAATACTATATAAAATAAGAGTACACACTTTCAAGTTGATAAAACGTGTTCCCAAACTCTTCAAATCTGCATAATCGGCGCGTATGTGCTTCCAGTTCTCTTGCAAAAACTGTAGCTTCTGCTCATCGGCCGTTTGTTTTAGCTGCTTATCCAGATTATCTAGCTGGCTAGCCAATTCATTAGCTTTCTCGAAGAACTCAATAAGCAAGGAAACACAGTCGACACGTTTCAGCACCAAATCCTTCAGTTCAATCCAATGCTTGTGCAGCGCCTCAGCCTTAGAGTCGACATCGTAACGTTGTTGCGGACTCAATGACTCTAGATGCGCTTTAATTGACTCAAGCAGCAAGTTAATGAGCTCGCCTTTGATCTGAAAGATGGAAGTTTGTAATTAGTTGCAGCAAATTTGCTGAAAAATCTTCAAAACAACCTCCAAATCCTGCATGAGTTCGTGGTGTTGCAACAGGAACTGTTTACTCTGTTCCAATGTGCTGCCCATATCGACATGCTGCTGCAAATACAATTGTCCCGAAGACATCAACCAGTTGAGCAAGTCATTGTATTGCGCTAAAAAGTCCGAGAGCGCTTTCTGTACGCGCTGGTGGTCTTCATTGCTTGTCGAACAAATACTCTCGATGTACGTCTTACGATTCTCAATTTCGTCGAGCACACGCTTTACACCCTGCGTCTCGGGTTGTGTGCGGCCGACCTCATCTAATATGCTATAGCCGAGGCGTAGTGGCTCCTCCGTAAAACTGCGCACATCACGCGTCACCTTCGCATACATGGCGAAGCTCTCGGGCGTATTGGGCGGCAGACGCACATTTGCCAACTCCACTTCAAGTTTCTCGAGCACACTCAATGTGTTTTCGGCCTTGGCGAAGAAGTCACGTGACTGCTGCAGCCAGTGTTCGCGTTGATCCACCAAGTCCAGGTGTTCCGTACAAGAGCTCAGCACATTATAAGCGCGCGCACAAGCCTCATCGCCAGTAAAAGTACCGGAGGCTTGTAGTTTTTCTTTGGCGCGTGTGATCTTCAACGCACGATCACGCAGCAGCAAAGCTTGCTGTTTCCATTCACGATAGTTGTGCAGCGCGTTATTTGCCGTGTGTTCGCACTCACCCAAACTGAAGAGATTGTCGACTTCGCTGCGTTGCTGCCGTAAGGTCGCTTCCACTTCGTCCAACTCGCGTCCGAGCAACGCCAATGTGAGACAGTGTTCCAATTGTACTTTACGCGTTTGCCACGCTGACTCCAAAGCATTGCGGCGATCGTGTAGGGCCTCCAACCACAACTGAACTTGGTGAACGGCGCGTGCGGCATCACGCTTGATATGCTCGGGTCGTGTGTCTAATGTTTCCAGATTTACAAGTTCCTTCAGCTGTGCGAGCAGTTCGTTGCCATCTTTTAGCGCCGCCATCACCGCCGTGAGCATGTCGATGCGTAACTGTTTGAACTTGTTGAGGAACTCTTGCACGGCCGTCACTTCTATCGGCAGCATTGTGTCGATGCAAGCGACCTCCAGTTGGTCCATGCGACGCTGACACTGTGCCATCTTCTCTTGCAGCTGTGTGGCGAGGTGGAGTATGTGTTGGCGGTCGTGCAGTAAATGCAAAATATCTTGCCAAATGATGTTCAGCGTATCGGCCATGGCGTTGACTAGTTCGGAACTGATACGCTTGCTGGCGAGTAATTTGTCTGCCTTCTGTACGAATTCGTCCATCGGGCCGGGTAGGTTCTAGTTACGGAAGAATGAGAGCAAAATTTGTTACTTGTTAAACTTGCGTAAGAATTGTACTAACCTGTATATTCCTAAGAGTCTCATCGTGATCCTTCTGCAAGCGTATGGACTCATCGAGATTCGTGCCTAATGTTGTGATCTTTGGCTCTAATTCAACAACCTTAATATATAATTTGTCCGGGCTCTGTAAGAAAAATCGTGTGTAAGGTTTATCCTTGTCGATAAGCATTCATTTGAAAGTGTTTTATTGTCGTGTAGATTCGTGTGCGGGTACGGGATCAAGACAGGAACAGGACGGAAAATTTACTGTGTTAGCGCTGTAAAAGTGGTTCGTGGAAACGGAAGTGTGTGGTTGTGGTAGGACGTTATAAGGAAAGGGTTGCAGCAGAAACGAATGGTAGACCAAATCATAGCTTTGAAGAAACTTATTAAAATATGAGTTTAGATACAGTAGTAAGACGTGCAGAACTTTGAAATAGAGTCTACTAAGTATTCTCTTGTAAAATGTTAGGTACTGAGGCATTGAATGGTATTGCTTTGACAGTTAAGATCCCAAAATAGATCGTGTTTTTCTTAACATAATATTTAAACTGGAAAAGGAAGTACCTTGTCGATCAAACATCGAAAAACCATAGGACGGACTTTGCATTCAGTCGACCAAAACTTTGGAAAAAGCCGAAAAATATCTATTTTGAAGTATTGAGGTTTTAAAATATCAATAAGAAAGGGAAAATAGGATAGCGTTTGTCGTTTGGAAGGGAAAAGTGAGAAGCACTCCTATTATCCTTGTAATTGTCAGAGGTATATCAATTTGTCTTTCACGCTGGTACTTTTATTGAAAAGTATCCAACTATAGAACATACATGTTGATATTTGGGTTAGATAATAGTAATAATCATTTATGTCCTGAAACCACTCGTGCACTCTGCTACGGGATAGGCTATCATCGTCATAAACTTGTTTCATTAATTGAAACGTTGCGATAAAAGTTTTAATAATTTTAAAATAAAATTTAATGCTGGCTGTTTGGCGCCAACAGGGAACGCTAGATTCAAAAAGTCCTGTTTACTTTGGAATTCATCTAGTATAGTAATGTTGAACTTCGTTTAATAACTGGAGATAAGCTCAGCTTTCCGTTGGCCGAGCATATGTTGCGCGTTGTGCGCTTACGTAACTTATCAGGAACCGTATCCGAAAAAATCAGTATATGTAAGAAACAGTATATTAACTCTTTGAGAAGTAAAGTTTTTCGATTTTGATTAAAGAAAGCCAAAAGAAAATAAACGAAATCGTTCAAGATTGCTCTATATTTTTAACACACGAGTATCAGGGTACAATAGAACTTCGGCATTAGGTTTAGTAGAATTTTTTTGGAAATTTTATTTAGAACGAACCATTAACTATTTATCTTCGAAAATTCCTGAATTTTTCTCATTTCTTCATTAAAAATTCCCAAGCTGAGGCTGACCCCTACAAAACAATTTATTAAAATATTTCTTGAACAACTTATTTAAAAAAGTAAAATTTTATGGTAAAGCGCTTGCTATAAATTTTTATAGCAAACTTCAAGCATCCACATATCGTTAGACAACAAATTTTTCCCTTTTTTTAACACCTCAAGCAGCATAAGACAGCATAGCATAGTGCAGAAACTTCATAACAACTAACCAAATCTGTAGGAGAATCGGAATGCTCTAAGAGGAATCGTAAACAAAGTAACGGATGCGAACGCACCATAATTGGACAACGATGACCTTCATTGCGGACAATAAGGAAATCATATACATTCACGCTCACCACTACTAACATACACGTACGAGTATATGACGAGCGAATAGGAATTCCTGTTGTGAGAGAGCAACACACGCTAAATAACTTCCATGCAACTAGACATAACCACAGAACAACAACAACAAAACGATCAAACAAATGACTAACCGAACAACTGCAATAACAATGACGTATGCAGAGAAATGGCCGGTTAGACGAAGGAGCTCAATTGCGAAGCGGTACTTCACAAGTTCGCCAGTTCGTAGTGTTCGTAGTGTTCGCTGTCACTGCCACTGCCATGACCACTGTCAGTGCCATATTTGAGGCAAGCCTCGGAGACTTGACGCAAAGTTATGCAGTCGTCTTGTCATTTATGGTGGCGGTTTTGCCGGTGGTCAGCCGCGGCGCGTTGTCTGCGTCAGCTAAAGTAATGGCCGGCCACTTGGTTGCTACTTTCAAGATTTGTTACGTTTTCATTGTCAATTTGCTGCTGTTTTCCATTTTGCTGTTACTTTTAACTTTACTATTCTTCTGGGGTCATATTTTTTCTACTTTTACTCGTTAATATTTTGATTGTTGATGACTTTTCACTGAGATGTTTTGCTATTTGAGTGTATTTATAAGTTTGCTTGAAAATTTAAAATATTTGAAAATTGAATAGAGTTCGTGAGAACATACACTTTATGACTTTGAATCATGCAGAGAGAAAATGAAATCTAACATTAATACTTATATACATATATACCATATATATATGCTATATACTATATACTTGTATATTTAGTATTAACTACATGTTTAAAATATACACTATGGCAGAGATTCTATTCTTTAAAAAATCAACATAAAGTGTGCCCCGCAATTTAGGCTGAATCAAAGTCTTTGAATATTATGACCATACCTCGGTCGTGGAGATCAATATCCATATAGTTGTTATTGTCAAACTTTTAGGCTTATTAAGCTAGTAAATTTATCCGGATCATAGAAAGCGTTAAAAATTTTGCTTGGATTGGAACCAGCATTAAGATATGTATCTAGCAATATTATCGCTAGAAGCCTTTGTAGAACCACTTCTGCTACTAAATTTTTTGAAATGAGTAGGAAATTATAGATCTCACTCTCTTTCTCTCTCTCTCTCTCTCTCTCCCTCTCTCTCTCTCTCTCTCTCCCTCTCTCTCTCTCTCTCTCTCCCTCTCTCTCTCTCTCTCTTTCTATGCACGTAAGGGCTCCCGAGAGAGCGTAGAGCGAGTGTATTTGAATCCTATAACGGTATATTTACAGTTAGAAATGTAAATTTATACCATCGTGACCGTGCTCTGTATGCACTCCCAATAATGTTCTATTAAATTCTAGGGCCTTATAGATTTTTAAGAGAGGGTTTTTAAGGTGAAAATTAGACCCGAAAGTTTGGTATTATCTTCTGTGGCGAGTGCAAACATATTTTTTGTTGAGGATTTTTTGTTTGGTGACTTTGTTATTGTTGTATTATTATCTTCTTTCAGCGAAATATTAAGGTATACAAAAGCTTCTAAAAGCTTATGAAACAAACTATATTTAATATGTATTTCATATACCGAATATTTTTCCTAAAATACCGAAATTATAAAACACGAATGAGGTCGCATATAATGCTTTAAAAAACATATCGTTTGATGTCATATACTCCATTTTCATTCAAGCTTTTTTATTCAGACATAATTTTGTAAGACTTCATTCGAGTATTTTTATGTCATCGAATTTATTATTGAACGTTTATAAAATTAAGGAAATACTTTTGTCTACATTTTAAACAACAAAAACAATTTAACTGGTTTATTATTGGTGAACCTGAACTTACATTTAATATAATTCCGGTATCTTGACCTAAAATTGTGAAACAATTAAAATGGCTGATACCGCACAACAGTTCCAGGCCATGTGAGTCTAATTTCCTTGATTTTCTTATGTAAAAAATCAAATTTAACATACTCCATCTATCACCAAAGTGACCAGAAAATTTTGGAAGAACCCATGCTTTCCGTGCCAAAGGGTATACCACCGACCGGCATCGACAAATTCATTTATCCAATCAAATTAAATTTAATTGGCGCTCAAATGTTGCATATTCAGGTGATTAGCAGACTCGACTTTTTCACAAAACCCCTAATTCTGCTTTTCTTATTCATTTCTAAATTTTCTTTGGTGTGCTCTACAGGGCCGGCGTCTTATGATGGTCCGCCTACTTTCAGATGATGAAAATAAGTATATGCAAGAATTGGAGAAAGTTGGTCTTACTCTTTGGCGATAATAAGCACATAATACTCTATTTTTCGGTTTTACGGATTTTATTCATAATTTTGCCCTTTAGGTATATTTTTCAACTACTCGCAAGCTAAACTCATTAAGTACATATTTGTACCGTTGGTTAGAACAAAATTTATATACATTTCTCTGTATGCACAAAACAAAAAAAAAAAAAATCGATAAATTATTCATTTAATATTTTATAAATTGAAAAAATATTTTTTAGAAGACGGTTTTTATGTAGTAGGCGGAGTAGTAAAATACTTACCCCTAAAATTTACTATATTGGCTGTTGAAAGCCGCAGAAGCTATCCCTTAGATAATAATAGTTCACTAAAATTGAATTCAGATTTCTAATTCCCATAAGATAAGCTAAATAGATGAGGATTACATCTACCCTCAGCACATTGGAAAATGACTATATACTGGTACTACTAGGTGCTAGTGAGGCGATGTGATTCTTCTTCACGATGAAGGGTTTAGGTCCTATTATATTAGTGGATGCTGTGGAGCAGCAAGCTCATCTGCCAGTTCATTCCCGGCTATAACTTTGTCACCGGACAGCCAGGTAAAGTGCACTTGGTTACGTTCCGCTGGACTATTCCGTCGTTCTCTGTTTATGGCAAAAAATTTCTGCGTGATAAATGCTTCGAAAATTTTCCAAGACTATGGAGAGTTTGATGAGTGGTCCTGCGACTCCTGCACCAATTCCATCTCTTGATGGATGGCATCAAAAATCTTCAATTATGTTAAATTCAAGAGAATAGCACGTAGGGTTGGATTTACAGTTCGAGCTAAGGAATTTGCGAAACGACGCTAAACTAGCTAGTAAGTTATTATAGATAGCCGATGATGTTGACATCATTGGCTTCAACATCTGCACCGTTGGTTCTGCTTTCTCCACACAGGATAAGCAAGCGAAGCAAATGGATCTGGCAATGAACGAGGGCAAGATAAAATATCTCCTGTCATCAAACAAACAGTCGTCACACTCGCGACTTGGCACCAACGTCACTGTTGACAGTGATATCTTCGAAGTCTTAGATAATTTCTGGGAACCAGTATTAAAACCAACAAAAACGTCAGTACCTCCTACCAACAGGTTCTACTTCGTACTCAGTAGACAATTGA